GTCTGCTAAATTTAACTACACAATTAGATATTAGTATATTATTAAGCTTTAAAAATAACTATTTAATTAACTAATACTTTCTTATTATTTCTCTCTCTCTTTCTTCTATATACAACTTTTTTTTCTTTAATTTATTAACTATTTTTTTTTAACTATATTTAACTATATATAATTTATTAATATTAATTAAATTTATTTGCATAATTAGGTATATTATTAAGCTTTAAAAATAACTATTTAATTAACTAATACCTTCTTACCATCTCTCTTTCTCTCTCTTTCTTTCTCTTCCATGTATGACTTTAGGGTTTTTTTCATTAATTTAATATTCAATTATGATATTGCGCAATACGATTCTGTAGTCTGCTAAATTTAACTACACAATTAGATATTAGTATATTATTAAGCTTTAAAAATAACTATTTAATTAACTAATACCTTTTTACCATCTCTCTCTCTCTCTCTCTTCTATGTGTGACTTTTTGGGTTTTTTTTTCTTTAAGTATAATTTATTTATTTATTTTTTTATTAATTAAATAAAATTTATTAATACTAATTAAATCTATTTGCATAATTAGGTATATTATTAAGCTTTAAAAATAGCTATTTAATTGACCAATACTTCTTACCATCTCTCTCTTCTCTTTCTTTCTCTTCTGTGTAGTAAGTATAATTTATTTTAAAATAATGAATATATTTAATTATAGATATAATCCTTTATTTAATGTTACTTTGTTCTTTCAATTATAAATTAAATTTATTGGTTTATAAATACAGTATATAGTATATAAAGTTTGATATCTGATTTTTATTTGTCTTATCATAACAAATCGAATGTAAAAAATATTTGATTTTGATTAATGGATTGCAAGATAATCATACAAATACTTAGTAATAGAACTACTGAGTTATTAGTAATAATAAAATGATTATTAATTGGTTAATAATAGTTAGTAATATTAATAATTATGATAATTGTTAAAATTGTTATGCAAGCATTTTAATAACTGCATATTGCATGGATCAAAATTATGACAAACAATTCTAATAACCAAATCTCAAGAAAAAATTAATCAGAATTCAGCTAACATTAATCTAATGCATAGTACTAATACTAAATAGCTATGTTATATATTATTAAGTAGTTTTTAATTAATATTAGGCTAATTGTTATTAATTATTATTAATTATTAATAATGCAAAAGGTTTCATTACTACAAATACTCTTTGATAGAGTAATACCATGCAGATAATTGTCATAACAATAATGTATTTTTTGTTAATAATCCATCAATCCTCTCTAAATATAATATTTTTTTGTACTAATAAAAGTACTCTAGCCATGGTAAACAGTCAACCAAAATTAATAAAAATATTGATTTTTTTAAGATTTTGAAAAAATTTCAAGATTCTAATGAAGATTTCTTAATAAATATTTGATTAATTCTAGTAAAATTTTTATTTTAATTTTGTACTTTTGTAGATTTAAAATAAAAAAAATTTCATCAAATTTTAATAGATAAATGTTAAGAAATCTTTAATAAAAAGATTTAAAAAATAGACAAATATCAGAAATACTAAAAAATTGTATAAATTATTTTTTTAAACTTTAAACAAAGATTTCTTAATGCCTATTAATTCAAATTTGATAAAATTATCTTTTAATTTTAATTTTGTAGGCTTATAGAATTAATTAAAATTAAAATAATTAAATTTGAATCAATAGGCATTAAGAAATCTTTATTTAAAGTTAAAAAAAATAAAAGAATTACTATTTGCATACTATATATTGTGTACACACAAGATGTTGTTATTACTCAAAATTTTGCCTATAAAACTACTTTGGGGTTCTAACAAAAAATAATCTATGCAAAATTTTAGTATAAAATACTCTCTAACTCTAACCTTTAATCCTAATTCTAACCCTAACCTTAATATTAAATATATAGTTTTTTTTTTTATATGAAATTTATATGTTATATTAATTTGCAGATCAATTAATTAATACCCATATTTATATACTAGTGTAGATTTAGAAATTTTCAAAAAATAATTTATATAATTTTTCCTAATATTTAATCCTTTTTGGTGAAGATTTCTCAATATTTATCCATTAAACTTCGATTTTTTTTTAATTCTACAAAGATATAGAATTAAAATAAAAATTTTACTAAAATTAATCAAGTATTTACTAAGAAATCTTCATTAAAATCTTGAAAATTCTTCAAATCTTAAAAGAATCAATATTTTTATTAATTTTGGTTGACTGTTTACAATTATATGACCCAAACTTTTTTCATTATATCTAGGGTACTCTGCTAATAAAAGTTGTACAAATATAAATCAACTTAATTTTTTTATTTTAGAATTTAAATAGATGAAGAAAAATATATAACTATTTTAAAATAAAATTTATAGCTAGTAATATTTTTAATAAATTTTAAATAAATATACTATATATTTTCTACCTTATACTGATGTAAATACTTTTAATTTTATTTTTATTGGCTTGAAATATAAGTATAAAAATTTACTTATTAATTGATATAAAATATTTAATATATACTATGTAATTTTTTATAATTTACTAATAATCTACTAAAATTATATACAAGGTTTATTAATTTTTAAATATACAATACATATGCTAATCAAACTAAATTTTACAAACAAAAATTAAACTTTTGCTTTTGGTTAAATTAAGAGTAGATTTTGAATTGGGAAGAGGCTTAGTTTATACCAAAATTTTGCAAGGAATTTTTATTGTTAGAAGCCAAAAATTGGTTTTATAATTAAAAATTTAAGTACAAATAAAAAGTGTCTTTTATTAATAACTAAGTAAAAAACATATTATTAATTTGTATAAAAAAATATCAAATATAGAAAAATATAGTAGCAAATTAAAGATTTTATTAGTTTTTATACCTTAGTACAAATTATTTATCAATATTTAAAATGTGAAGTTATAATTGCTATAAATCTAAATATTAATATAAAATTTAATATAAAAATATAAGTATTAAAAAATTAATATAATTAATATATTCATGAACTTAATATTCATTAGATCATATAATTATTAGTTATATATATCTAGATTTATAATTTTTTGTATTACAGATATATTAAATTTAGAAGTTTGATGAACAACTTGTTTATCTTTTAAAAGATTTTTAAAAAATTTATTATACTTTTTATTAATTGTAGATATAAAATATGTTGCTATAAGTCTAGATTTAACAAAAATACTAGCAGAGCATTGAGTTACATAAAGCAATTTAAGTAACTGCCATGTCTTTACCCAATAGCACCTTTTGTGTCTTTTAGTAAAACCAAAAAGCTTTTTTGTTTCATCTTTAATAAAACCATGTAAAACTTTATGGTTCAGAAATATATTATTATTTTCTTGGTATTTATTTATGCATATTACTGCAAGTAAGATGAAAGGACTACATAACTTATACAGCATATGTAATCTGGATTTCTCAATTTTATGTTTTGCAGATCCAAGTTTATTGTATAAATCTGCCCAACTTTTAAGATAGTTTTCAATCGATTTAATATCATTAACTGAATAAATAAGTAAATCTTAAGATGGTTTATAAATAACTTCATTGCTATTGTTGAAAAATAGGTGATCGAAATTTATTGTAAGAAAACTTTCAATAGAATTATTTAAAAAAAGTTGATTATCATATATAATCAACTCTTTTTCCATATTGTCAATAAAGATTTGCCTTAGATACTAAGCTTTATTATTTAGCAACATAAAAACTATATCTAGAAGATTATTTAACATGATTAAAATTTTAATAGACTTAAATTAAATATATATTAAAACTTACCAATTGAATCTGATTCTTCATTTGGATTATCTAATAATGATTCTGCATTATTTTTATTTGAATTATCTGATCTAGTATTTTCATCATCTGTTATTGTTATGTATATAAAATTTAAAATAGTATCTCTATTCTAAAAATATATTAAATTATGTATAAGAATTAATTTTATATATAGATTTAGTTAGGTTGAAAATAAAAATTTTTTATATTTTCAATTAATCATTCTATATCTAATATAATTAATCAAATAAAAATAATTAATTTTTATAAATTAATAAAACAGTATTAATAGATATAACTAACTATACTTTTTAAATTTAAAGTCAGTGAGGAACTTGGAATAAAATCTAATGAGAAAGAACTTAAAGTATCTTCATTCTCAATTAATTTATACTATAGAAAAAAGTAAATTACTAATTAGCAATTTATTATTGCTATTTTCAAAATGATTGAAAACATCCAACAAACAATTTTTTGTAAATAGTGTAAATATTTGAATATTCAAAATAATGACAATTACTATAAATATGTAGACAATTTGGAGTTGATTTTTGATTAATGTAATTATTGTATCAATGTAGTTGAGTATTTGAGTATTCATGATATTCACAATAAAATTTTTTGCTAGTTATTTTCAACTATTTCGAAATAGTGATAAATTAAACAAAACAAAAAAATTATATTTATGAACCTTTTGTTTTAAAATTTTGTTAATTTTATAATTAGATTTTAATACTTTACATTTTAAATTATCATTACTTTCTGCTTCATTATACTATTTATAAATATCAACTTTAGACTTTAATATATATATTAATATAAAAAATTTGTTGTTAATAAATATACTTTATCTGAATAGTAACATAAACAACTGCAGTTTTATTATACTATCATTAAAATTATTATAATTTAAATATTAAAATTTATTTTTTGTATCTATTAGTATATAATTAATTAAAATTTATTAATTTCTAATTGGTTAAATTATTACTTGATGAATTATCTATTATATTATTCTATTAATTGAATGATTATTAGAATATATTGATATATAATAATAATTTATTAATATAAATAATTAGAATTTACTTGAAAAAATTTATTTTTATTTAATAAGATTCTATGCTTATTAGATTGTAGGCCATTATTATTTAAATCTTCAGAGTTATTATCATCATTATCTTGTCTATTATTATTTAGATCTTCAGAATTATTATCATTGCTATCTTGTTTATTATTATTTGGTGAAACTATATCTTTAGAATTATTTGTTTCACAATTTCGTTGTCTATTACTATTTGGTAAAGTTATGTAATTATTTGCTTGTAGCTTATTAAGAATATTTGTTTCACTATTCTGTTGTCTATTGATAATTACTATTAGAATTTAATCTACTAAGGCTATACAAATTTAATTACTTGATTTTCATAATATGTAATTTTAAAAATAGACCCGGCCAGCCAGCTGGCTTTTTTTTTATAGCTATTTTCATAATTTCTAGAACACTTGCTTATTACCTAAAATCTTTTTGGCCATTTGGTAAATTATCTAACTCTCCAAAAACTATATCGCTGTCTTTAGACCTTCAATCCAGAGGCAGTGATGTAATTTCTAGAAAGTTAGATAATTTGCCAAACAATCAAAAAGATTTCGGGTAATAAGCAGGTGTTCTAGAAATTATGAAAATAGCTGTAAATTTCATATATAAAATTTTATAAGATTTATATAAAATTTTTTTTTAAAACCCACCTGGTTATTACAGCTATTTTTATAATTTTTGGAACACCTGCTTATTATTTGAAATCTTTTTGGTCATTTGGTAAATTACCTAACTCTTTAAAAACTACATTGCTGTCTTTACACCTTTAGTCTGAAGGTAGTGATATAATTTCTGAAGAGTTAGATAATATACCAAACAACCAAAAAGATTTTGGGTAATAAGCAGGTGTTTCAGAAATTATAAAAATAGCTGTAAAATATATAAAAAATTTTTCTTAGAAGTTTTTAAATTTTAACTTGGCCAGGTTATAAAAACTATTTAATTAATTTTGTATAGCCTAACAATACCTTTTTTTTATAATTAATGTATAATTTTATCTTATTATTTGGTATATTCAAATTTATAACTCTAACAGAGTTGTTAACCAAAGTAATAGTTGCAGTACATAATTCATGATTAAAAAAAATCTTCTGTTGTTGTTCTAAAAAAAGTTGATTGCAGCATCTTCAATTTCGATTTCTTTAAACATAGTACAAAAAAATTTTTTTTTCTTTTTAAAAAACATTATATATATATATATTTATATATTATGAATTTAATTATACAATTATACAATTATATTTTGTTTACTATGCAATCTCTATGCATAATCGTTATGCTTGCTTAATCTTTATGCATAGTCGTTATGTTTGCTTGATCATTTTATGCAATCGTTATATATCGTTATGCAAAAAAGTTCAATATTGTGAGCAATTAGGATTGAAAATGAATAAATATACTATATATATAAGAAATTTCACTTACACTTACTTATAAATACATTAAACCTATAGTATTAATCTTCATCATTTCCTTTTAAAAATAAAAATAATCAAATTATTTAAAACAATAACTCACTAATCTATCTTTAAACACTTTCCTAATTTCGAATAGCATCTACTACTAGTATGCGTATACCAGCTCCGGTATAGCTATACTTTGATCCTCCTATTGAAGTCAAATCAGATAAAAAAAAAAAGCTAAATGTAAGCTATGCTTGACAAATAATTACCTTACTGTAAATAATAGTAGTACTTCCAATTTGTGTACCCACGTTATCAATATTCACAAAATCGACATCCCAAGTATTTTGAGTTCTGAAGATTTAGCCACTTTATTTTCTCAGTTCAGTGAACATCTTCTTAGAGAAACGTTGGTCAAGTGGATTGTAAAGAATTGCTTTCCGTTTACTATCATCAAGTTAGAAAGCTTTCATAAATTATTTGAGGAAATTAGAAAGCTAGAAGGTAATATTACAATTCCATCTGCAAGTACAATTAAAAGAGATCTATTAGAATATTACTTGGTATCAAAGACTTCATTAAAAGAAACACTAGGAAATAACTCAAGTAAGATTTCACTTACCACAAACATATGGACTAGTAATAGTTGTAAGGCATTTATAGGAGTTACGGCTTATTGGCTTGATAATAATTAGGAAATTCAATCTCATATACTTGATCTCGCACCATTCGAAGGACCGCATTCTGGAATAAATATAGCAAATACTTTGATAAGTATTTGTGAAGACTTCAGTATTACTAAAAAAATTCTTGGTATAACTGTTGATAATGCTTCTAATAATAATACGTTCATTGAAGCATTCGAGTCTTTTTCTATGAAAATTAGTGGTTCTTTTACCTAGCGACATGCCATATTCATTGTATAGCTCATGTTATAAATCTTGCTTTGCAAGATTTTTTGTTTCAATTACGTTCTGAAGCGCCAGGTCAAGATGATGATGATATTAATATTTTAAGTCAGACTAATACCTCTAATACTCAAGTCCTAACAATTAAAAAGCTTCGTATGCTTATTGCGAAGCTTTGGCATTCACCCCAACATCGTCAAAGGTTAATCGAGATATGTACTTCCCTCAACATACAACATATGAATCCAATTCTTAACTCTAAAACATGTTAGAACTCAACACTTAATATACTTGAACGAGCTATAACTATGGCTCCAGCACTTAGTAGAATAGTTAGAGAAGTTTCTGAGCTAAGTGAATTTGGTCTTCTGCCGCAAGAATGAGATATGTTAAAAGAAATTTCATTACCTTTAAAAGTTTTTCGTAAAATATCTGAGATATTGTGTAGTAAATCGTATATAACAATGCCTCTCGCTGTTCCAGCATATAATCTAATTATGGATGACCTTGAGGATTTGCAAGGAAAAGGTCCGTTGTCAGTAATTGAGAAAGCTATTAGAGTTTTGCTTAATAAATTAAGATCTTATTATGCCAGAAGTGATAGTCCTATGTATGCAGTAACTACCTTATTAGATCCAAGATTAAAAAAGGCATATTATGAAAAAAATAAATAGAATAAAGTTTGGATTGATTGGGCAATTGTATGTTTAAATGAAGTATATGATAGTTATGATGATATTGTAGTACCAAATACTGATACTTCTAGTGATACTTCTCTTGGCCGGGTTTTCAAGAATCTTCACTCTGAAAACGAAATTGATTTTTATTTAAATAGTTCTGTAGAACATGATAGTATAGATATATTTCAATGGTGGAAAATGCATGTCAAAGCATTTCCCAAATTAATGATTATAGCACGTGATTACCTTGCTATACCTGCATCAAGTGCTCTATCTGAGAGACTGTTTTCAAGAGACTCTAATATGGATACAAAAAAGCGTGGATCGCTTAATCCAGAAACAATTCAAAAAGTAATTGCTTTTTGTGATTGGATAGACTGAAAAGAATATATATTATTATTATTATATTGTACTATATATGGTATATATATATATATATAGAATTATTGTTGTATTATAGTATATATATATTTATTATTTCATGTAATATTATAATAAAACTATCAAATTTAACTTGTAATCCTAATTTTACTAATACTACTTTCATAGTCAATATTATAGTAGAATCATCATTAGTAATTTTCTCAATACACATATAAATTATATTATCAGATTATAATATTCTATATTAGGACACAAATAAAATTAATTGATTCTTGTTACATATTAAAAAAAAAAAAGCACCCAGGACCCGGCTGTTTTTGTACAAACTTAAAAAAATGTTTTATAAAAAAATTGCATAAAAATAGTAATTAACCAACTCAAAAAATTATCATAATGGCTTATTTAAGTTTTAATAAATACGGGAATAGTTGCTTTTGAGTACGTTTTGCAAATTAGGAAGTTTATTTTTAATTTGCTACTAGTTTTTAGATTTTCTGCATTGTAATATGTATATATGAGATTGAACCCGTTGATATACCTTTAATTGAAAGCAACCTGCGGGCGTATCTATTTTATAATCATAGTGACATACTTAGATAATGTGCTAAAATTCAAAAAGGAAATTTCAACAATGAACTAGATTGTTGGTCTAATTTCTTCATAGAATTTCTGTGCACATCTATAATAATATACCAGTATGATGTAATTTTAAACATATACGTAAAAACAAGCCATCAGAGTATAAAATCAAGACAACTTTTGTGAAATTTACTATGAATATTAGCTTGATTCGATTTGTACCATAGTAAATGCGATGAAAATTTTTTACCTTTTTTTTTTCTTATTTCAAATTTTAATTCTTACTGCCTGTTTTCAGATTGATGTAATTGGTTATACTTCACTTATGTACTTGAACAATGAAATGATTTTAGTTGCTTACTCATGATAAGAAAGTCATGTTTGCTCGAATCATGATTTTTACATCATTATGAGCATAATCATAATTACCTAAATTGTACAGGTGCTAGCTTTCATTACGGATAACTTTGATTTTGTGTTTTAAACACATGACTGCGTATGAAGCACTAAAACGACTACCGCTTAATCTGTTAATTTTTCAACCTAAAAAAAATTATGACATTTTCTCTTAAATTATGCCTGCAATAAATATACAAATTACTCAAGAATCAAAAATATTGTTTGACTGGAAAGTAATACCAGTACAAACTGACATCACAATTGAACAATTTTTTTCAGAGTTTGTTGAAAATAATATGTTAAGTAAATATTTGGCACTAGTTGAAACAATTGAAGCATGATACGGAAATTCAAAAACTACAGTTAATCAAGGTGTTGATCTTGAATGTAATTTGTAGGAAATAGCAACAGATTACAGAAAACATTTCATTTTTAAATTATATACATTTCAAACAACATTGATTCATCAATATACCAATCATTTTGACATAATTCTTAATACTCAAAACTCTATTTTACTTCCAATATGGAAATCTAATACCAAGCCAAATAAAAAAGAACAGCTACAAAATGATATAACGGCATGGATTAAGAAAGAAAATGGAGGCTGGATAGGGCCGGATGCAGCTGAGACTATTGGAAAACTGTTTATACAAGATCTAACCAATGCGTTATGGTTTATAGATGGATATAATCATGATACATTTACCCAACGATACCACTTACCAAAAGCTTTTGAAAGCTTCATGGGCTATAATAATCCACCAAATTATAAATGTGCCTGGCCTAGGTTTAACGTTGAAGAGCTTAATGAACATAGCGATTGTCTTCTTAAATATACTACCCATTAATGGATGACAAGATTACCATTCTCAAACTTTCTTAAAGAACCAGTAACAAAGCTTGGTGAAGATCTCTCAAAATATGCGAAGTATCTTCTCTACAAATATGCAGAAATAGCACAAAATCAAGAATTTAGTCAACCCATAGTTAATGAATTTAATAATGGCTAGTTAAAAATATTAATGGCAAATGTAAAATGTACACTAGAAAATACCATAAAATATAAAAACCTTTCATTAGCCTTAGAATCCAAGCAATACTGGCAACCAATTTTGGTTGATAATTTCTGTCTTTCAATATCATGTATGTAAGTATCAAAAATACATAAAATAAAATAAAATAAAACAAAAAAAAAATAAAAAAAAAAATAAGAAAATTCTTATGTCGAATTAAATGCATATAGGCAAAAACATCGATATATAACGAATTTAGAAGCTGGATTCACATTCAAAGTTGGAGTCTATACTTATCATCATGGTAACATCTGCAATACAACACATGTTTGGTGAATAGATGAAGAAGCATCAGAGAAAGAAATTGTTGATCAGCATTATAAAATTCGAACAGATTTAAAAAAATATTTACTCACCTATCATATACGTCATATGTGTCGAGAATATATAGACATATATAAACTTCATCTAAACAAGCAACCAAAGGCAAAATTACGACACATATATAAGGAACTGACGAATGATGCATCAGCAGCGAAAACAACAAATCAGAAAGAAGTTGATGAGCATGTTAAACTGGCCTTTGAACTTAATGATCCTAAAATAATTAGTGATCTCAGAGAACTTAATGAAGGTCGACTGGGCAAATACGATGAATTTTGGGCTATAGGCAAGAAGTTTTTAGAGGGCATTGCGCAGGAAGTTGTGGTTGCTGTTGATGAAAAAAGACATGATCCAATTGTGCATCTTGCACAAGCCATTTCGGCCCATGATCTTTGTGATATGATAGCAAACAAAGCAAAAAAAATTAATTCACAAATACCAATCCCATCCACTCAATGGCTTCGTTTACAGTTTTGGCCAACTACACCAACGAATAAGAATAGCTTGCAATATACTGGTATTTTACCAGTTAAATTTATAGTTCAGGTTCGTCAGCTTCAGTGCGAGCATGTTGACCTGCATTATGCATCTGCGTTATTTCGATATTTAAAAGAAATAGCAATCATGTTTCAAAATAAAGCTCAGCTTATTTTTATGGATGATAAACATCGCTATAAGGTTGGTGAACCTGGGTATTCCGTTGTGGCTGTAGATCGTGGAAAACGAGTCCTTGTTAATCATAACACAACATTTACTGTAAGTGATCATGATTTTACAAAATGTGGAATTATCCCAAGCGTTACAATGTTGTGCAACATACCCAAAACAATTGAAGAATTATTTTATGCTAGAAAGGTTTTTGTTGGGCTAAAAGAGTGTATCTTTGAGCTATCAAGTCCAATACAACATATTACAGAATTATACAATATTTTGGAAAGTATTGAAGATGACAAGCCTTATGCCTTTATATATACCGATGGTGGGCCAGACCATCAAGTAAACTTTCTTCGTATACAACTTGCGTTAATTGCAATTTTCTTAGCTTTGGATCTTGATTTTTTGGTTGCTGTTCAAACACCTCCAGGACACTCATGAAAAAATCTGGTTGAACATATTATGTCTATCTTAAATCTCGGATTGCAATGCATTGGTCTAATGAGAACTGAAATGAGTAAAGAATTAGAAAGTTTGATGAAAAGTTGCAATACAATTGAAGAAATTCGTAATAAAGCTAATAAAATGCCTTAGCTTAAGGAAGGAATAATTAAAAGTGTGCGCTCTACAAAAACCATTATGCAAGAAATTTTTAAACAGTTAGAGCTCAAAGGGGAAAAATTTCCGTATTTGAAGCAGCAACAGATCAAGACATGAAACATTTGTAGGAATCGGTACTTGAAGTAGATAATTCATTGGTACCTGAAGATACATCAAAGAAACATATTAAAAATAAGGTCAGTTTCGAATTTGCAAGAAAAAAATTTGCAACATGTACTTATATTTGGAGTCTATTTAAATCTATAATTTTATTGGCATTTATTTATATTCTTTATAAATAAATAAAAGATACACCCCTAAAATTTAAATTTTACATTAAAATAGGCTCAAATTTTAGCGTAAGCTACTACAATTAATATTTACTTACAAATATATTTATATATATAGCCCTATATCCTTGAGTTTATGAATCATTGCTGTCGTTCAAGAACGTATTTTTTTGAAATTCGAAAATGTCAAGAAGCTGGAACAGGTTGTACAATTTGTAGACCACCATGGAGTAGACCTGATGTATTTTCAAAGTTGCAACCCTTCCCCAATCCTATTCCTAAAGCAAATGAAGATTATTATATGCCATTCTGTGAAATATATAGTAAAGATACTAGTAAAAAATACCACCCATCATTGCTTCAAAAAGCCAATGTGCCTACATCAACAACTACTATGACTATTGATGGTCTTGGTGTTAATGGAATGGGTTTCAGTCCTCGAGTACAATATGCAACAAATGTTTGCATCTTGGTCAAGTGCATTGAATGTAACCGTCTACAAGTTCTCTACTTACAACATCATCTAAACCCAGAGGAGGAAAATCTTAGAAATTTCTTGAAAACAATTGATTATACATGCGGTACAACATTTTATGGAATTTCAGATCTCACAAAAGCCAGTCCACCCTCATTTCGAAATGATAATAATTGCAGCATAAATAATGACGAAGTTGAGCTTCAAGACGCAGATAATGATATAAATGGTGATGGTGACTACGATGGTGATAGTATGGAAGATGGTGAAAGGTTTACTGATGATGGTGACTATGATGGTAATAGTATGGAAGATGGTGAAAGGTTTAATGATAATAGTGACTATGATAGCGATGATATGGAAGATGGTGAAAGGTTTATTAATGAAAGGTCTGTTGATGAATCGTTTACAGAACTACAAAATACAGAGAATAGTTTATCTTTAGAGACATTGTTCAAATGGGTATTTGTTAATACCAAGCTTACCTGCGCAACATCAATGGAAGTTCTTTACTTTTCTTCTCATCTTTATCCTGATGTTTGTTTCTAGTGTGGTGATACAGAAATCTTTTCTCCAACTCCTGCTAGTGAACAACCATATTGCTCTAAATGCTATGCCACAGTAAAAACTAAAAAAAAAAAAGGCAAAGGCGTTAAGTTTAAAGCTAAAAAAAGAAAAGCAGTTAAGAAAAGTGTCATGGTATGAGCAAAGGCTCTTATAAATATATTACTCAACAGATATAAAAACCCCACTTTTTCTCTCAAGT